AGGCAACTTTGGCCTTGGAGTACAAAATGAAGCAGGGAAAAGGCTAAGAGAGTTTTGCCAAGAGAACACACTGGTCATAGCAAACACCCTCTTCCAACAACACAAGAGAAGACTCTACATATGGACATCACCAGATGCTCAATAGCAAAATCAGATTGATTATATTCTTTACAGCAAAAGATGGAGAAGCTCTATACAGTCAGCAAAAACAAGACCTGGAGCTGACTGTGGCTTAGATCATGAGCTCCTTATTGAAATATTCAGCCTTAAATTTAAGAAAGTAGGGAAAACCACTAGACCATTCAGGTATGACCTAAATCAAATCCCTTATGATTATACAGTGGGAGTGAGAAATAGATTTAAATGATTAGATCTGATAGAGAGAGAGTGCCTGAAGAACTATGAACAGAGGTTTGTGACACTGTACAGGAGACAGTGATCAAGAGCGTTCCCAAGAAAAAGACACGGAAAAGGGCAAAATGATTGTCTGAGGAGGCCTTACAAATAGCTGAGAAAAGAAGAGAAGTGAAAGGCAAAGGAGAAAAGGAAAGATATACCATTTGAATGCAGATTTCTAAAGAATAGCAAAGAGAGATAAGAAAGCATCCCTCAGTGATCAGCGCAAAGAAACAGAGGAAAACAACAAAATGGGAAAGACTAGAGAAGTCTTCAAGAAAACTAGAGATACCAAGGCAACATTTCATACAAAGATGAGCACAGTAAAGGAGAGAAATGGTATGGACCTAACAGAGGCAGAATATATTCATAAGAGGTGGCAAGAATACACAGAAGAACTATACAAAGAAGATCTTCATGACCCAGATAACCACAATGGTGTGATCACTCACCTAGAGCCAGACATCCTGGAATGTGAAGTCAAGTGGGCCTTAGGAAGCATCACTATGAACCAAGTTACTGGAGGTGATGGAACTCCAGTTGAGCTATTTCAAATCTTAAAGATGATGCTGTGAAAGTGCTACACTCAATATGCCAGCAAATTTGGAAAACTCAGCTGTGGTCACAGCACTGGAAAAAGTCAGTTTTCATCCCAATCCCAAAGAAAGGCAATGCCAAAGAATGTTCAAACTACCACACATTTGCATTCATCTCACATGCTAGTAAAGTAATACTCAAAATTCTCCAAGCCAGGCTTCAACAGTATGTGAACTATGAACTTCCAGATGTTCAAGCTGGATTTAGAAAAGGCAGAGGAACCAGAGATCAAATTTCCAACATCTGTTAAATCATTGAAAAAGCAGGAGTATACCAGAAAAACATCTACTTCTTTATTGATTACACCAAGGCTTTGACTGTGTAGATCACAACAAATTGTGGAAAATTCTTCAAGAGATGGGAATAGCAGACCAATTTACCTGCCTCGTGAGAAATCTGTATGCAGGTTAAGAAGCTACATTTTGAACTGGACATGGAACAACAGACTGGTTCCAAATTGGGAAAGGAGTACATCAAGGCTGTATAATATCACCCTGCTTATTTAACTTATATGCAGTGGACATAATGTGAAATGCCAGGCTGGATGAAGCACAAGCTGGAATCTAGATTGCCGGGAGAAATATCAATAAGTCCAGATACGCAGATGACACAACCCTTATGGCAGAAAGTGAAGAAGAACTAAAGAGCCTCTTGATGAAAGTGGATGAGGAGAGTGAAAAATCTGGCTTAAAACTCAACATTCAAAAAACTAAGATCATGGCATCCGGTCCCATCATTTCATGGCAAATAGATGGGGAAACAACGGAAACAGTGAGAGACTTTATTTTTTGGGGCTCCAAAATCACTGCAGATAGTGTCTGCAGCCATGAAATTAAAAGACACTTGCCCCTTGGAAGAAAAGCTATGACAAACCTAGACAGCATATTAGAAAGCAGAGACATTTCTTTGCCAACAAAGGTCTATCTAGTTAACGCTATGGTTTTTCCAGTAGTCATGTATGGATGTGAGAGTTCGACTATAAAGAAAGCTGAGCACCAAAGAATTGATGTTTTTGAACTGTGGTGTTGGAAAAGACTCTTGAGAGTCACTTGGACTGCAAGGAGGTCAAACCAGTCAATCTTGAAGGGAATCAGTCCTGAATGTTAACTGGAAAGACTGATGCTGAAGCTGAAACTGCAATCCTTTGGCCACCTGATGCGAAGAACTAAGTCCTTGGAAAAGACCCTGATGCTTGGAAAGACTGAAGGCAGGAGGAGAGGATGACAGAGGATGAAATGGTTTGATGGCATCATGGACTCAACAGACTTGAGTTTGAGCAAGCTCCGGGAGTTGGTGATGGACAGTAGCCTGATATGCTGCAGTCCATGGTATTGCAAAGAGTCAGACACGACTGAGCAACTGAACTGAACTGAGGTACAACTGAATACAATTTAGAAGTGAACTGAATCTGTTTAAAGAAAATATCTGCTCGTGTTGATGTGTGGTAGAGGCCAATAAAATATTGTAGAGTACTTGTCCTCCAATAATTGTATTTTGTTCTTTACTTCCCAATATTATACTAATATAACCTTTGAAGATTAAAAATATAATATATATCAGAAATTGCACAAGAAGTTTGATGTAGGCACAAATTGAGTAGCATCTAGTGACTGATGAGAGTATGAGATCAGGAGGAAATTAGACAAATAGTGCTAGAAATTAATAATAGAGACTTTGTCCTTCAACAGATAGAAAAACTATTTTGTTTCAAAACATAATAAAGACTTTAAAGAAGATCAGTAGCAGAGATGCTGGTGGCCAGATCCAGATAAAGTGGTTTGGGAGAGAGGAGGAAGTTGCCTTCTTTATGAGAAAACTTGGAAAGTCAGATGTAGGGGTAAAGTTTAAAAGCCACTGGACTTTAAAAGCCTCTGTGAAGAGGAAGGGAAGATCATGCCCAATACAGAAGGTGATATTGTTCTTAACACCTCTTTTCTCTCTTCTGTAGCAATCAGGGAATATGAAAGATTTGGTGGTACTGGGAGTGGTTCAGAGGAAGAGTTGAAGGTGGAAAAATCTACATACATCACAGAATAAGATGAGAGGAAAGTGACCTTGATTCTTAGTTCTCAGTTTATATATAGGTTCCCTGGTAGATCAGCTGGTAAAGAATCTGCCTGCAATGCAGGAGACCTGGGTTTGATCCCTGGATTTGGAATATCCCCTTGGGAAGGGAAAGGCTACCCAGTCCAGTTTTCTAGCCTGGAGAATTCCATGGACTGTATAGTTGATGGGGTCACAAAGAGTCAGACATGAATGAGCGACTTTTACTTTCCAAAAACTTCCAGGAAACTGGTGAAAAACAGATGTCAATAATGGGTGCCTATTACTTCATGGATCACATTTCCTAGGCTCAAACTTGGTCATTAATTATATATAAAATATCTGCTCTAGAGAACGGTCCCACTGGTTCAATTCTCAGTTGAAGTGCTCAAAGCTGTTGCCACCTCCATTGACTAGAAACACCTGTGTGTGGGTGTGAGAATATGTGTGTGTGTGTGTATTCTGTCACTCAGTTGTCTCTGACTCTTCATGTCCCTTTGGACTATAGCCCACCAGGCTCCTCTGTCCATGGGGTTTCTCAGGCAAGAATGCTGGAGTGGGTTGCCATTTCCTCCTCCAGGGGATCTTTCCAACCCTGCGTTTAAATCTGTGTCTCCTGCATTGCAGGGGGATTCTTTACCCGTGAGCCTTCAGTGGTGCTCAAGAAACACATTACTTACCTTATTTCTGACTCTTGTCTTTATTACAGGTTGTTGTTCTGAGCTCTTTTTCAGACTTCATCCAGCTTTACCTCTTCTTATCCCAATTGACAAACTCTTGGCCCCATTGCATCAATTGCTCATGCCATCTAGAACTGCTATCATCATTGTACCCTTTTTACACTGACAAATGTCAGTTTTAAAAAAATCTCATTTTCACTTTCATAAAGTCATATTGCTTTGTAACCCCCTAGAGAATGTATATCTTTGGAAGATTCAGTCAGACATGTGCTGACTTTGAATCTAGATGGCTTTACAATAGCCCTGAGCTATGCATTCTACAAACTCATATGCCAAAGAGGTAGCATTCTGTCAATTGACAGAAAGATGTTAAAATAGATCAAATCAAAGACCCTGTCCAGGAACTAGCTCAACATTTTGTTATGCCCCACAAAACACATTGCTAGTTAACTTAAAGCTGTTTCACCTTCAATATGGATGGTTTTCATGCCAAATCATAACTTAGCTATTGGGGCAATCAACATCATTGACTTATATTGCAAACACCAACAACTTGCTATATATTAGGCTGGATTTTGGGACTTTATAAAGAGAAATGAATCTCTGTGGTTGAGGAACTTACAGATGAATTCTAGAGGCCTGGTGGTGGTGGTTTAGTCACTAAGTTGTGTCTGACTCCATGACCCCATGAACTGTAGCCTTCCAGGCTCCTCTGTCCATGGGATTCTCTAGGCAAGAACACTGGAGTTGGTTGCCATTTCCTTCTCCAGGGGGATCTTCCTGACCCAGGGATTGAACTTGGGTCTCCTGCATTGCAGGCAGATTCTTTACTGACTGTGCTATGAGGGAAGCCCCAGAGGCATGGTAGCTGATACCAATGAAGACATAATTATCACTGGATTTAAGATATCATGTAAGTGCTACCATGGCACAATACTCTGTCAATTTCAAGAATAGGACTGCATCCTCTTGATGGTCTTAGTAAATACAGGATGTCCCTAGGAGAGATGAGGTCTTTATGGAGGGTGATCTTGAGGGTTACAAATGCCATCATGGTTCTCAGATACACTGTGAAAGGACTAAAGGTATCTGGGGTTGGAGGAGGGAGGATCTTTGTATAGGCACCTAAGAGTAGATTAGGTAGGTTAGGCAGTTTAGGCTGGAAAAATTTTCTGCAACCTTGAGTCTATAGATAATATATGAGATGGTGACACACACATGAAAATGTAGTTTTTAGAATGGTATAGTTTGATATGTGATAAAGGATCACCCAAGCAGACTTACCATCTGCTCCTTCACTGCTTTTGCTTCTTTTATTGCGGCGAACACGCCTACTTTCCTCTTCAGAGTACGACTTTTCTTTAGGGATGAAGAAATTCACAAGGGCCATCTGAAAAATAATGAGTAGATAAGTTAAAGGTTGACCCAGTCAACTATTTTTGTTGTGGTTTAGTTACTAAGTCATATCCAACTCTTTTGCAACCCATGGACTGCAGCGCACCAGGCTCCTCTGTCCATGGAATTTTCCTGGCAAGAATACTGGAATGGGTTGCCATTTCCTTCTCCAGGGGATCTTCCCGACCCAGGATCAAATCCACGTCTCCTGCATTGGCAGGTAAATGCTTTACCACTGGAGCCACCAGGGAAATCCCAGTCAACAATAGCCAACAGAAAAAACTGGCTCTCTGTAGACAGTCTTGCCTTCACTTTAAATTCAGCGTGTCTAAGATGAATAGATAAAGGTGTGGTACATATATATATATATACATATATATGGAATGGAATATACAATGGAGTGTTAGTCATAAAAATGAATGAAACATTGCCATTTGTAGAAACAAGGATGGACCTAGAGATTATCATATTAAGTGAAGTAAGACAAAGACAAAATCATATGATATGCTAATATATGGAATCTTAAAAACAGATACAACTGAGCTTTATTTACAAAGCAGAACTAGAACCACAGATATAGAAAACAAACTTATGATTAAGAAAGGGGAAAGAGGGGGAGGGATAAATTAGGAGTTTGGGATTAACGTATACTCACTACTATATATGGAATAGATAACAACAAGGACCTACTGTATAGCACAACAAACTATAAATATTTTGTAATAACCTGTAAGTGAAAAACCTTGAACTATATATTTACATCTGAACTACCGTGCTGTACATCTGAAACTAACACAACATTGTAAATCAACTATACTTCAATAAAAAAAAAATTCAGAGTGTCTAAAGTCTAAGCTCACCCTCCCTTCTGCTGTACAAATTCTTTCATTTTTGATACCATTATTATTTTAATAATGTAGGCATGAAATTTTGTTTAATATCTTTTGGCCCTCTGTCATCTGCCCCAAATATCCAATGGGTCAATCCTACTAGTCAGTAGGATTCAGAGATCTAGGGTTCAGAGATCCCAGTCATAGATTCTTAATTTCCCTCACATACTACTGATGTCTTCCCAGAACTAGACTTCAGCTTGTTACTCCTTCTTGGATTGCATTATTATACACCCATTATTCTTCCACATTTCTACCTATGCTGAACTTTCAGTTTGTTCCCAGAATGCTGTGCATCCAATTACGATTGGATGGTATCATTTATGTTAACACTCTTCTGGGAGTTAGTAATAACAAAGTGCACAATTTTCTCCCTTTCTTACTACAACAGAACTCCTATAGAACTTGTGGTCTATAAGATTCATTTCAGTTCCTGATCCTCTACTGTCTTATGATGATCTCTTATAATAATAATACAGTGTATTTCATATGTGAATGGGCCTGGTATCACTAATGATAATCACAGCTTAAATATATACTTGACTGAATTAAATCATAATTTTTCAGCATGAGTGCTTATTTGTGGCTAAAGAAAATGTGCTTGAAGAAAACAGTGGACCAAGTATTAGATAATAGGATTGAAAGTGATTCCAAGCCCAACTCTACCACTTATAGCTGTGTAAATTTGGGCAAGGTCCTTAAGTTTTAATTTCCTCATTTATAAATAGGGGGAATAGTTGTACTTTGTTCATTAAGTAGTTATTGTGTTAGCAAGTACACAGCATGTAATATGCATTTAATAAATGAGAGATATTATTATAATTGAAATTAATATTAAAATAGACTTGTTAGACAGTTTAGAGGCTAAAAGGAAGAAATGAATCTATATTTTCATCCTACTGTTGGTTCAAAAAATAAACAATTCCATAATATCATGTCTGCTGCATCTTGGATTAATTGGAAAAAAGATGTGTAGAACTCAAGAAAGCCTTAACATTCTATACAAACTTTCTTCAAAAGCATGTGATTTATTGTTTACGTAGAAAAACTACAGCCAACAGCCCTAATATACAAGATTAGCGTTTTGCAGAATATATACATGTATTAAATACATAATCAGTAAATGAATGTACAGGCAATCTGACACTTGCCTTAGGGTTTATTTAAAAATATTTAGGTTGAATCATATGAAATTGCCATTTTTGTATGTCAAAAATGGTTAAAGATCAGCAATTTCACATAGTTCAACTGAGCAGTGTTTTTGTCACTTCTTTCTTGATGTTCAGTCACTAAGTTGTGTCCAGCTCTTTGCAACCCCATGAACTGCAGCACGCCAGGCTTCCCTGTGCTTCACTGTCTCCTGGAGTTTGCTCAAACTCACGTCCATTGAGTCAGTGATGCTATCCAATCATCTCATCCTCTATTGTCCCCTTCTCACTTGTCTGGAATGTAAAATGCACTTTCTTGTAGAATCAACATAATAAAGTCTGGCTAGCTTTCCAGATAAAGCCCGTATAAAGTTACTTAACCCACAACATAAATCAGTTCAGTTCAGTAGCTCAGCTGTGTCCGACTCTTTGCGACCCCATGGACTGCAGCACACCATGCTTCCTTGTCCATCACCAACTCCCTGGAGTTTACTCGAACTCATGTCCATTGAGCCGGTGATGCCAACATAAATAACTTATCACAATAATAATGATACAATCCCAAACTGTTATTTACATTAAAATCTCAATTATTTTAGTGTAGAACAAGTAATTATAGATAGAAGAGTGTTCTTAATAACTTTGAGCACTGAAACTCCAACTATTTTGACCAGAAATTAGGCTACAATATGATTTAACTCAGTGTTTAGTGAAAATGTAGAAAACTATTTGCCTGTACATTAAATGGCACCAGCACACTATGGTTTTGAGTGTTTTTTTTTTTTTTAAGTTACAATTACATTACAGAATGATACATACTTTGTTAAGTAAAGAGAAGCATTAAGTTCTCTGGGAGCAAGAGAAAAAATATATAATACAGACTGAGAGTGCACAAGGCTTCCTGCAGGAGGTGCTACTTCTCTGAATCCTGTAGGATATTGAGAATTTAGTGAGGAATGGGAAAATGAAAAGGAATTCCGGAGAAAAGGACCATTGTGTTTCAAGTTTCAGAGGAAAGAGAGAAAAGCTATTTCTGGAAATAAAAGTAGCTTAATATAAGTGGTAGGAGGTGGGAAGGAATGGTAAGGAATGAGGCAAGAGATATTAAACAAAGACCAGATAATGTTAAGGAATTAAAATTTTATCCTATAGCAGGGAGATCCTCGGAAGAATTTTTCCTTTTGCAAATTTTGTACTTTTATGAAAGTTTTAGCTATAATTTATAATCAATTAAGGGGCTTCCGGGGTGGGGCTAGTGGTAAAGAATCTGCCTGCCAATGCAGGAGACCAAGAGACATGGGTTCAATCCCTGGGTTGGGAATACCCCCTAGAGAAGGAAATCGCAGCACACTCCAGTATTCATGCCTGAAAAATTCCATGGACAGAGGAGCCTGGTGGGCTACAGTCCATGGGGCCTCAGAGTCAGACATGACTCAGTGACTGAGCACACAAACATACAATAAAGTGCACATATTTTAAGCATACAGTCTGAAAAACACACACATTTGTAACCACCATTGAAATGAAGATATGGAACATTTCCATCACCCCAGAATTACCCCTTGTGTCCCTTCCAATCATTCTTCAGTGCAACCCCAAACCCAGTAACCACTGTTCTATCACCATACCTTAGTTTTTCCCATTCTAGAAGTTTAGATAAATGGAATCATACAACATGATTATATGATTTTGTGTTGCTTCTTTCCCTCAGCACAATGTCTGTGAGACTCATCCACATTATTGAATATTGGCAGTTCATTCCTTTTTCTTCCTGAGTAGTATTTAATTGTATGGATATACTATAGTTTTTTAACACATCTGCCTTTTGAGGGACATTTGGTTATTTCCAGTATGGGGCTATTATGAATAAAGCTGATATAAGTATGAGTCTTTGTAGGGATATCTATTTTCATTTTTCTTGGGTCAACACCTAAGGGTGGAAACTTAGGGATATATGGTAAGTATTTACTGTAAGGAACTATCAAACTGTTTTCCAGTGACTGTACCATTGTATTAATATATTCCCACTGGCAATGTATGAGAGTTCCAGTGTTCTGCATCTTCACTATGCTTGATATAGTCAATTTTTAATTGTAGCCATGCTTGTGGATGCAAAGGAATTTTTCATTGTGGTTGGGTTTTGAATTCTTAACTTCTTTTTAACATTTTTTTTTGGTCTCTTAAGTTGCTGTAACTATCAGATTTCACTTCACCTACTTGTAACATCTTTTCCAATCTCTTCAAATTTGCTGCTTATAATCTTCTATAGGCTTGTCACCTCATTAAAACTAATTAAAATCATGTACAAACAGAGTAAAGAGGCAAGCAGTGTGTTTTTGAATGGTTTTTGCAATAAGTAAGATGCATATTCTCTGGTGGCTTAGAAGTCACTTGTTTACTGCTTATTTCTGGCTGTGGTCTGGATAAGTGAATCTGTCAGAGAACTGAGTTTTACATAGTTATTACATATATAATATGTAATAGTTACATAGTTACATATGTTATTACAGTGTAATGCTATTTCTAGGGGAAAGGGATTTTGAAGCACAAATGGAGAACCTCCTCACTGTCACCAGCCAGAATTTTAGAATTTTCTTTATACTCTTTGTGTTCCCTCATGGGTTCAACTCCTGTGTTCCCTCATGGGTTCAGCTCCTATGAGGATTCTGGCAGGGTCTTCATCAGCTTCTAATGTCCTGATGGCATCAGTGGGAGAATATGCTCACATACTAATTGTTTCAAAGGGTCTGATGGGAGCCTGTGAGAACTGAGTCTCCCAGAGAAGGAGAGCTGAGGGAGAAACCAACTCCTACAGATAGCAGAAACAACTCCAGTTTCCACGGGGAGTAGGAGTAGCTTAAAGTCCCTTCAGAGAGGCTGTTGGCGAGTATGGGACATTTAAAAGTCAAGTGCTCATTAGACGGGGACTGCCTGTATATGAAAATGCTTTGAACAGA